AATAACCGGAGAAGCGGGAAAACCGGAGACGGGAATCCAAACAAGGTGGGATGGGGAATAAATAACAATTGTATGGACATTTCAGAAGATCAGTGCAAGAAATTGATCCAAAGGAATAAATTCTCATAATCAATTTCTGTTTCTTTTTCATGAAGAAGTTAATATACACAAACATGGCTCTTTCGCCTTCCCACTCAATCGTCCTGTCTTTCTTTGTCCTCCTCTTTCTCTCTCTCTCTCTCTCTCTATCGCTTTCCCCACCATCCATCTTCCTTCTCGCTTTCGCCCACCCTTCTTCTCTTTTATCCTATTTCTCTCTCACACTCCCCCTTTTACACTCTTTCCTAGCATCGTGTCTTTCATCGTCTCTTCTTCTCTCTTTTTCTTTCCCTCCGTCCTTCTGTTTCTTCCTCTCTCCATTTCCCCATTTATCTTCCACTTTACATCTTACCTTTTCTATTTCTCTCCCTCTCTATCCATTTCTCCTATTTTCTAACTTCCTCTATCTGTATTTCTTCCTCTCTCTTTTTGAATCTTACTCTTTCTCTTTACCTCTTGCTTTCTCTTCATCTCTCACTTTCTTTCCTTCTCTTTATTCATTACTCTCAATCAATTCATGATTTATCAAATATGGGTTAACCATAACGTGTTATTTAGTTCATTTGAAATAAGTTTTTGGTTAACTTGCTCAATTGGTAACTTGCTCAATTGGTAACTTGCTCAATTGGTAACCACCGCGATTGGCAAGACTTGTGATCCATAACGGCTAAGCAGTGAAACCCTTTCTGTACATGAGACACTTTTCGGGGAGAATGGAACTATGCTTTCCTAACTTATGAACAAAATACATGCTCTTGCAATACGGTGTCCCGGATTTCTGAGTAAAACTGCTTTATAACTAGCTCCCATTTTCAGGATCGGAGAGAAGGAATGTAAAATATTTATAAATTTTTACTCTTTCTAAGAAAATGAATTAAATTGTATTCTTCTGATTTCTTCCTAGCAGTCTTTTTTTTATTTTATTTTGGCTGAATACTTATGCCGACGACAGGTTCTATTAAGGCTTTGCGCATATATTTGTTAACCCAACAGAGGCATTAATGCAATGCCAAATAAGGAGATGAGAGAGAGAGAGAGAGAGATTATTTGAATTATGCCACTGTTGACCTGTAAGCTTTAATATTTAATTTTACCAGTACTTTTGTTTTGTTATGACCTATTCCGTGTGTAAGCGATATCAGTTAAAGGATTTTATTAAATGGAAAATAGCTGAACTTGTCATAAAAAATGGATCTAGACCATTTATTTCCCAACGATGGTTATCAGTATCGTGAATTGGGCTTCACAAGCGGCCCAGACAAAGAGAAGTCCATGAATGAGGATAAATTGCTTTTTAGACGAGGACGACAGGACAAAGAACCATGTTAGCTTTAAAAATGACCAGTACACGCGAAAACACAGAGAGACGAATCGTTACCACGGAGAACGACGGGATAGGGAAGACACCCGTTAGAATGGTCACCCGCATCTCAGCTCAACTTTCCAGCTTCGCTCGCTTATAACAGTAGGGTATAACCCAAATATAAAATCTTTGTTTTTTACTTATGGGTAGCGATCTGGCTTAAGGGTTATTTTTAAGTCAATTGAGTGCTAGAAGCTGCGCCCTATCAATGAACCTGGTGTCTCGTGTGAACTGCAACGTAGCAGGTGTTTTGTATTGATTTTTAAATTATTATTATTACTCCTTTTGCCTTTGTAGTTCGATTTGCCCCCAAGTGTCAACCAAAGACTTCAAGTTTTTCTATCAGAAGATTCAAACAGATGAAATTCAATGGAATCAGGAAGAAAAAAAAATAATTTCTATGACTGTATAGAGAGGAATCTATACAAAATGTGAAAAGTAATCAAGAGTTTGATATTATTGCAATTCACATATTTTAGGGTTAATAGGAAAAATGATCCACAATTTCCTTTGTTCCTTTTGATATAACTCTCCAAAGACTCAATAACAATGTTGTTGTCGTGAGATGCCATATTCCAATGATTTCTAACTGGAAGTCTTTCTATTTACTTACAATCTGAAACGTTTATAAAAATTTGTTTTTATTGGTTGGGACTGAAGCATTTTCAACAAGATTTTTCTCAATTTTTGTTTCGTAGATTTGCCTGGATTTGCTTATCAGTATAAACGCGGAAATTCCAGAGGATGAGGATCTATTCATTTCGTACAGCTTGTGGGGGATTATGTTCCTACCAATTCTTTTTGCGTTGAGAGAACTGGTACGAACAGATTATTATTATTATTATTATTATTATCATCATCATCATCATTCGATTTCTGCTATGGACACACTACCTACCAAGTCTGCGGAAAGACCTAAGGCAGGTCGTGGTGTGTTGTTATGGCCACATTTCATGTTAATTTTTTTTTTTTTTTTTTTTTTTTTTTATCTCCGATGAAGTTGCTAGCGTTACATAGACAAAGTTCTCCTTAGTGTGTGTGCTGTACTTAATAAGACAATTTTCTGTATGTCTCTTAAGCTGGGGTTTCCAGGGATTCTTTCAATGTGTTGTTTTGTTCCATTTTTTATTATTCCAAGTGCACCTATTACCACTGGTATTATTCTTGTTTTCAATTTCCACATTTTTTCTATTTCAATTTCCAGGTCTTTGTATTTTGATAGTTTTTCAAATTCCTTGGTTGCTATGTTACAATCCGCTGGACAAGCCATATCAATTAGTAGGCAAGTTTTTTCTTTCTGGTTTTTGACAATAATGTCCGGCCTATTTGCTTCAATTTTTCTGTCTGTGTGGATGGTATAATCCCATAGAATTATTATTATTATTATTATTATTATTATTATTATTATTATTATTATTATTTCCTTTGATTTCTGTTGTAGACGTCAGAAAGGTCCTAAGGTCGGAAATGGCTTCATGACACTGATCATTTCTGTAAAAAGTAAAAAGAACTAAAATCACACACATTTTACATAGATAAAGCCCCTCGTAATATTGATCTGTACTTGTGAGTACTTTTTTTTGTATTTCTTTAAGGCCTGGGTTACCATTGATCCCTTCACTGAGTCTATCGGAACTTTTTTCTAATCAATTCAAGTGCTCCAATTATAACTTGAATTTTTGATGTTCTCATGTGCCACAGTTTTGAAATCCTTGTATTTTGATAGTTTTTTGAAGATCTTCAAAGACACATAAGAATCTTCAGAGACTGCCTTGTCAATAAAAATTCACATTCTGATTTTGAAGTCTTTGATCACGATGTCTGGGCGATTAGTTTTGATTGTTCTGTCTGTGTGTAAAGTCCCATAAAATTGTTACAGGTCTAAGCTCTGTAATCGGGTCGGGGGTGATGTTCATACTAGTTTCTTACAGTCTCCTTCCCGTAAAAGTTGCAGATTTTCCAATACAAATATTGGCCCACTTGGTAATTTGTAGTTAGTAAGCACTGGTAATAGTTTTTAGTTAGTAAGCATTATTATTATTATTATTATTATTATTATTATTATTATTATTAGTAGTAGTAGTAGTAGTAGTAGTAGTATTACCATTACTTACTTTTGCTTTCTGTTCAATAGAATCCCTTACCGGGTTACCACCCGAGATCTGTGCTAAGGTAAGATAATAAATACATGCATTCTGTTTGCACAAATTCTGATGTTAATTGATACTTAAAAAATGTGCAGTGATTATATGATTTCTATATTGATCATACTCTCCTGAATAGATGAAGAGTTCAACAAAGTACTCATGTTTGTTTAATATGCTGGTTTGTACATTTTTTGATCACACCCGGGACTCCAATACTTATTGGCAAAACAACAGTTTTAAGGCACCTGATGTTTTCAATATTAACTTCTAGATCTTTCTAGATATTTTATTATATTCTTTAACGTATATATTTTGATCTGGTGTCAATGTCATATTTTTGGGATAGAAATTTTTGTTTGTAGTCTTTAGTGACACTATAAGCTTTTATATGTCTGTCAGCGTAAATTGTAAAGTCCCAAGAATTGTGAACCCCCATGGCTTACTCAAGGTGATCTTCATACATTATTATTATTATTATTATTATTATTATTATTATTATTATTTGAAAATAAGGTCAATTGGAGAATAAAAGTCATAAAAGAAAAGATTTGCTTCAAGAGCGCGATAAGGCACCACAGAAAAAAAAAAACTCTTTTATTCCGCCAACAGTCATAAAATTCCTGACCTACAGATATTTATGGTTTATTCTGGAAAATAGCCACCAGGAAATGGTCTCCTGTGTACCTGGCTAACAGAAATTACTCTTTACTCCTCATTCAAAATAAAAAAGAAGGCTTGATTTTCTACTTGAAACATCAGAATAGCTTTGTAGCGTGCTATCTAAGAGCATCAATATTAAATATAAGTGAAAATCCGTTTTTCTTCCATTACATTTGGGGGAAATGTGAAAAGACAGAAAGTGAAATATTTACTAAAAAATAAAAGAAGACATGCAGATGAAGGAGATGTTGAAAGATGAAGAAGTGAAACAAAACCAATTTGAATTAATGCAAATAAAAAGAAGGTTGAGAATGGATAATGCTTTTTTTTGGTAGAAGGACGTAGAAAGCCTGTTTTTCCCCGACTAATGATGCTACTTTTATTGTTTTTTTTTGTGATATTTCTCCCAAGGTCATCGCTGTTAGATGCAATTCGGAAAATTCTGATGAATCCATTTTGGAAAGCAAGCAAAAATGCTTCACGTCAAAAAAAAGGAAAAACTAAAAAAAAAAAAAAAAAAAAAACAATGAAAAAGGTTTTGACTTGGAAGTTTGACGGTAGAGAGAAGGAACGTAGTATTGGAAAAAAAAATGGACGACTGCTTCATAGGAAAACAGATTAAGGCAATTTCAGTGACAAGGGGATATTTAGGGTCAGAAGACAAAAAAGTGGGTAGGGAAGAAAACAGAAAGAAAAGAGAATGAAAAAGAGAAAAAAAAAGAAGAGATTGT